GTTACATTTAATAACGATTTATAACAAATATTTCTATATAGAAGCTCAGGATATGCATACAAACTTTATAAATGCGCCAAATTTAATCAAATAAACAACAGGAACAAATAACATAAACCTCCCTCTTATGAACCAGTTCAAATTGCAACTGTATGTTTTAATTATATAACTGCAAGTGTGAACATGGTGTATTTGTTAATAAGAAGTAAATATATAGGCGAGAGAGAAGAATCATGCTGCATACGTAAAACATGGTCTCTACAATATTTCCCAGGCTCTGTGCTATGGAGAGGAGGCCCGTCATTCCCACACCTACATACAACACTAATGTCCAGAAAGGTGCCAATAGTATGTGATATATGCAACTGACATGCACAATGTATTTATACTGCAAGGGCTATTCTAAAATCAACCTCCGATTAGCTGGTTAACAAAAAACTTTGCGACAGCGAGACCATTCACTGATTGCATTATTCATAGCTTTTAGCTCACTACACATCAGCCTACAGTCGCATTTGTTCAGTGGTTCGCGAACTGCGAATGAATAAACATCGACACCGTCACTGTGAAATTCGTGGTTGTGATTGTTGTCTTCAAGCAGAAGTTCAAAATGCTTGATGGTGTGCATTGATGGAAGCACCAACACACAAAACCTGCCTTTTTCCTCTGTCTACTGCTTGATTTTATTGATGCTGTCATTCCAGGTTCTTCTTTGCTCCCCACTTCTTGGACTACACAATCACCCCCCCCCTCCCCCCCCCCCCCCCAATGTTACTTGAAGTAGTCTTTGCAATCGAATCATGTCTCACCATGTTTCCGAACCAAGCTAGCTTGCGACGTTTCACTACTGACAGAAGATGGTTTCTGATGTCCTGCAAATTCGTTAATATTGTCTTCTACACATCTGTTAGTTTTATGTTGTAAATAAATAGCTATTTTGTAGAATCCGTCTATAGCATTTATGTTCGAAAGCCTGAATCCTCATTTCCATTTCCGCAATGAGTCCAACTCTCACATCTATTTAAGACAGACAGACAATACCAGTGATTTGTAAATACTAACCTTTACTGCTAATCTGATTTTGCTCGTCTATATAGGTAAACATAGACCAGAATACCTCCACCTAATATGTAGCAAGTTAATACACCCCTCTCTTTATATTTCTGTGTAGCCAACTATCATATTTAATGCAGTGGTTATTAAGTAAAGATATAAAGCTTAAAAACTGCAGATAGGTAACACAAAAACTCCCTGGCAATAAATTAGGTTGCTGCAAACAGAGTGGGAAAGATTATTTTTTTAAAGAATTATCACATTCAAATAACAAGACAATAGTTGTGTAGTTTAACTTTTTTTTTATTTCAAAGCAATACAGTATGTCACAATCTTAAATTGGTCCTCCTAAACAGGTGATACACACACAATACATCATATATTATTTCCATGTTAGATAATATGCTCTTTTTAAAATCAAAAGAGATACAACTTAAAATATACAATCTTTAAAAATTTACAAATCCGATTTCCGTACCTAAAAAATACAAAAATTTATATTCTGCAATCTCACATGTATTCCATGAAAGTTTAAAGCATATGTAACAATATGACAAACCATATGTGGTTACCTGTTTGTCACAGTGCAATTAAACAGGGGCTTGCACTGGAAATTTCACTTCATTTCAGACTATAAGATTCAAAAGAATTATCTACAAGCTGTATGATTAGATAGTACTGAGAACCATTTTATATACTTATCACTCTCTGTACAAAACAACCAAGGAAGAACATTTATCATGTAATGTAAGTGTGTGTGTGTTTTTTTTAAACAGATGTTACATTCTGTATTATTTCAGTATAACGAATTCTTATCATTTGTCTCCTTAACTCCTTGATAGTTGTAGATTCAAGCACACTCACTTCTGTGCTAGACAAAAACATATTTCAACTCCTGCATCCAGTGCATCAGCAAATGTATTTGATTAACATGAAAAAAAAAAAAAAAAGCTTTGATACTATAATAAACTTAACACATTTAGTCTGGTCTGTAAAGGTTCACTTTCACTGTGCAAGACAGGAAATTCTACCTTTGCCAGTCACCTCCCAAAGCTTGGCTTTGTGTTGTTTTTTTTCTAGGTCATCGGGGCGAAAGCTTTAAGCAATTACATTAACCACTATGATATCATGGCATCATGGGCATTTTAAAAGTATCTCATAATTATAAAATGAGCATGGTAATAAAAATACAATGGGCAGTAAATTTAGTAACCAGTTTTCAAAAAGAAAAAATCATCACAAAAACTTATTATCACCTTTTTAATAAGAAGAGAAACAATAAAACAATGTAACAGCTAGTAAGATTAATAGAAAAATATATACAGTAAGGCAGTAAGAAAAGATTTTGATAGTCTTACATGGAAATACACACAAACTGGCATATTATATACTTATGTCCCAATCAACGCACTATATGTGATTGGATATTATTTATGAGTATCAACAAATAGGTTATATATGTGTTTTTATACGCTCAAGAAATCTTTTTCACACAAAAAACAGACAAAATATTTGTCTCCTACAAGGATTGTGTATTTGGGACCTTGGAAGTAGCATACCAATGAGTTTAGTGATGTCATTCTTGTCCCTCTCAGACATTAGCAAACACCTTTTTAGACTGAAAGAGTTATGCAAGAGAAAGGAGATGCATCATTGCCTATACCAATTGGCAAAGCACTTTATGATTATGATTCCCCATTAAAAACAGTGTGAGAAAGCAGTAAGAGTGGCCTAGCAACATATGGGCTATGGCATGAAAAGGGTCATTCCTTGGCTTTCTTGCCAACATATTTCTGGTGAATTCTGCCAGCAAAATTTGGGGTGTGAAGTGTCAGGCCTTTCACATATACTGTTGTTGGGGTGTGAAGTGTCAGGCAGGCCTTTCACATATACTGTTGTTGGGGTGTGAAGTGTCAGGCAGGCCTTTCCCATATACTGTTGTTGGGGTGTGAAGTGTCAGGCAGGCCTTTCACATATACTGTTGTTGGGGTGTGAAGTGTCAGGCCTTTCCCATATACTGTTGTTGGGGTGTGAAGTGTCAGGCAGGCCTTTCACATATACTGTTGTTGGGGTGTGAAGTGTCAGGCCTTTCACATATACTGTTGTTGGGGTGTGAAGTGTCAGGCAGGCCTTTCACATATACTGTTGTTGGGGTGTGAAGTGTCAGGCAGGCCTTTCACATATACTGTTGTTGGGGTGTGAAGTGTCAGGCCTTTCCCATATACTGTTGTTGGGGTGTGAAGTGTCAGGCAGGCCTTTCACATATACTGTTGTTGGGGTGTGAAGTGTCAGGCCTTTCACATATACTGTTGTTGGGGTGTGAAGTGTCAGGCAGGCCTTTCACGTATACTGTTGTTGGGGTGTGAAGTGTCAAGCCTTTCACATATAATGTTGTTGGGGTGTGAATTGTCAGGCCTTTCACATATGCTGTTGTTGGGGTGTGAAGTGTCAGGCCTTTCACATATACTGTTGTTGGGGTGTGAAGTGTCAGGCCTTTCACATATACTGTTGTTGGGGTGTGAAGTGTCAGGCAGGCCTTTCACATATACTGTTGTTGGGGTGTGAAGTGTCAGGCCTTTCCCATATACTGTTGTTGGGGTGTGAAGTGTCAGGCAGGCCTTTCACATATACTGTTGTTGGGGTGTGAAGTGTCAGGCCTTTCACATATACTGTTGTTGGGGTGTGAAGTGTCAGGCAGGCCTTTCACGTATACTGTTGTTGGGGTGTGAAGTGTCAAGCCTTTCACATATAATGTTGTTGGGGTGTGAATTGTCAGGCCTTTAACATATACTGTTGTTGGGGTGTGAAGTGTCAGGCCTTTCACATATACTGTTGTTGGGGTGTGAAGTGTCAGGCCTTTCACATATAATGTTGTTGGGGTGTGAATTGTCAGGCCTTTCACATATACTGTTGTTGGGGTGTGAAGTGTCAGGCCTTTCACATATACTGTTGTTGGGGTGTGATGTGTCAGGCCTTTCACATATACTGTTGTTGTCTGTCCATCACAGATAATGAGGACCACTCTTTCTTTCATCAGTCATGAAACTACAGTTGATTGCCAGCGTGTCCATAGGTGACTTATAAGCCCAATATGGACCTGGAAGATCTGGGACAATGACCAGTGTCTGTCAGCAAAGGGCCAAATGCACAAATATTAGGCCACATCGCAAAATACAAGGTGAGGTGGCCACTGCCATTCCTCAGCAAAACAAACTGACACAACTTCCCATTCCTGCCATGAGACATAATAGGTATATCGTTTCAGCTTTCTACTGTTTTGACCAACCTGCAATCAATGGGTGATGACTACAATACCACGCTGGTAACAGCATTTTATAGAGAAAAAAAGATGCTGGTATTCACCAAAAAGTGTCTTTAAAAGGTGTCGGTACCTGCTACCAAGTGTCCATGACAGCACTGCTTAAGAAAGAAAAAGGTTCAGGTAATGTGTACCCTTGAGTACAGTCAGAAAAACAAATAGTGACATCGGCCATCTTTACTTTCCAGGAAAGTTTCTAATACAAATTTTAGGTTGAGTCCTCGTGGGAGCCCAGGTGAATGGAAAAAATATTTGCCTCAAGAAAGAAATCGAACACATAACCACCAGGCTGCCAGGCAAATAAGCTACCCACAGCACCACCACGGCTCTGTACGGGATTATTAAAATTGATTAAAAACCTTGCCATCTCCGCACTGAAGGATGGCTGCAATGAATCCACTGCTAACTATAGGAATATGATGTGGAAAGGCCCACCATCTTTTCCACAGCCAGACTCTCATACAACTGTCTGAAAGCAAAGAGCACAGTCTTTTTAACTGCCCACTGCCGGAATCGAATTCCTGTAAATGTCTATAATTATACTGTAAAACCATTTACCCAACCGTCTAGCCAGAGAGCTGCACAGCAGCCGTACAGAAATATAATGTACAACAAATCTGGTACTTACCAAGTCATCAAGATCAGGACTGCAAAGTATGGTTTTGGAAGGTGTTGTCTTCTGCCTGAGATGACTTTTTGTATCTCTAGATCTGGTCGACCGGCTAGGACCTGAAGGAAGAGCTGGTTCAACTTCTGCAGTAAATCCTTCATCCTCTGTAGCCCTGAGGGAAACAGCTGACAGCACTGCATTTCTTGAATTGTACATGGCCGTGCGAACAGTTTCAAAGCTAGGTAGGCAAGGCTCCTCCTCGTTTGTGCTATTTTTGAGGTTGTTTTCTCTCCATTTCTCTCTCAGCTTTTCTAATTCCATGTCATACAGAACTTTGGGTTTAACATGGGGATTTTCTTTAACAGCAATCTTAAGTGCATTAATGAATTTTCTGTATTCCTGTCGGCTGATTTCTCCTTCATGGTTGTGGTCTCTAAAAAACCTAATGATTTTCTTTTCTTCAGGATCAAGCACGCAGCGAGCAGTACAGCAAGGAATACTGCACACCCAATACGAGTAACCTGTTGTTTTTTTCTGACACAGTCGAAGTGCCTTATTGTCTACAACTAAAAACCTGTCACCTTTAACCGAAGAAATGAAATGAAAAGCTGGCGCTGACTCTGTCTCAAAATCAGTTAATTTATCTGTTATCTTCCTGGCTTTTTTGTTGTTTGCTGGCAAAACTGATGAAGGTGAAGAGGTTAAATTAATCCACTCTGAGTCAATCTGCCATTCGACATCAATTGATGCATCCGTAATATCCTTGTTATTTGAGCAGTCCACATTTTCCATTTCACAATCCATGACGTTTCACAGTGGCTAGCTCTCAATGTTTTACTAAAACTTCATTGATCTAAGGAAGATAAAGAGAAAACCCATTATTATACATAAACAATTTGTATTAACAAACTAGTCATGATTTGACCATTTAAAAAAAATAAAAGTGGCCAAGTGATTAATTGAACATTTCCACAAAGACTGAGCTATGAGTGCCAATATACTATTTACACCAGAAGAGAGGAATTTCACAATTTGAGAGAAGTGATGAAAAATGGAATGATGGCATTAAGAACAGCCTTACAGAAATTAACATCAATCTTAATAGTGCTCTTGACAGAGCTCATCAAAGAATGTTTCATCCCCCCCCCCCCCCCCCGACACTTCGCTGAGGTACAAGGTGGAAGAGAAGAAGAAGAAGAAGATGCTTGAGAAATGCTGTCGGATTCACTTAAAGAGACAGAAATTAAATTACAATAGAGTCTTGTTAACATGAATTTCAAAGGACTAAAAAATCAATAGTTTGTGTTACATGTACATCCCTGCTGGGACCAAAATCTGGTCCAGGGTTAAATGAGTGTTCATCTTGAGCAAATTCATGTTAACGAAGCTTTAATTTAATAACATTAGTAATAGCATTGGTAACATTTCTTAAATTACAGAGAGACAGCAAGTATTTACGTAGTAAAAATTTAAAAAATAGAATTGTTAAATGTTTTTATATCGTTTGCTCGTTCATCACAGGTGATGTGAACCACTCTTTCGTTCATCTGTCACGAAAGTGCAGTTGAATGTTTGTGAGTCTGGAGGTGACTTGTAAGTCCAATACATGCTAGGAAGAGTCTAGGACAATGAGGGCAGGGCACAGTGTCTGCAGATAAAAGCCCTGTTTGGCGGTTCTTTCTGGCCTGTCTTCGCTATTCAGCTGCCCTTGTTCTAGATGCCTCGCAGATCGTTGCACCTTTTCAAATTTATGTGTGCTATAAAGTCCGGTCTTTTGTTGCAGCCTCCCAGGTGTCAGGGTTTATACTGAAAACTTTCAGTGATGCCTTTAGTGTGTATTTGAAGCGTTTTTTCTGGCCACTATGAGAACATCGATCGACCTTCATGTATCTCACCCCCTCAAGTATATGAAACTAACATAATGAAATGTGATTAAAAAAGAGGAGGATAACAGATTGTGCAAAAAAGTGAAACAGAAAGTATGAAGACATGTTTTTGTCAAAATGTATTTTTAAATCTATAATTAAATGTCCATGTTACCATATTAATTAGATTTTTTAACTGCAGATATACACAATTCAGCTATCCTCCGAATAACGGTCCTAAATTATCGAGGCCGAAAATATACCCTAACAGGGCCTCAGTCACGTGTCAATTGCGCACTCGTCGTCTCAAATTGCGCGCTTCGGCCAACTCCCGCCACTGCCGAGAGTATCCGCCATGCTCACGCGGCGTGGATTGGGGCTTAAATAGATGGCTGGGACTCACGAGCAGCAGCTACCGCATCTCCTGCAGCTTCCTTTATTTTATTTGCTCTTAAGTCCTAGCCATCTAGTTTAGCCCCAATCCACGCCGCATGAGCGGCGTGGGGATACTCTAGGCGGTGCCAGAAGTTCGCAATTCGGTGGTGGCATTATAGTCCCCGGAAATGCGCAATTGACAAGTGACTGAGGCCCTGTTAGGGTATATTTTCAGCCTCGATAAATTAGGACCGTTATTCGGAGGATAGCCCACAATTCTTATAAAACAATACAAAATTACCTTGACTTTTTGTTTTATAAATAGTTTGAAATTTTTGTATTTATTTATAATTAAGCTGACAAAATAATACAACGAATCATTATAAACACAAATGCACTCAGTTTCAAAACTGCTTGTTTCCCAACCCCCCCCCCCCCCCCTCTTAGTTTTGAGACCACTGTAATAGAGAGACTGTAAATGAAAAAGCAAACTGACTTGGGATAAAGGCTAGATGGGATATCTACTACGCTACTTTGCTTTTCCAAACCTATCAAAGTAAAGTCAAAGCATTATGAGCTGAGTGAGTAAAATACATTTGTGATGATTAAAAGATGCATTATTAATGCACAAACTAATTTAAAAATTAGGTGAGGAATGAGTTAAATTTAATTATGCACTAAAAGAAACTAGTAAATATTAGTTAATATCATTAAATATAGTCATGTTACTTGCTACTAGTACTTGTGCTATGTGTTAGAACAGCTTTGAATATTTTTCAATTTGGCTATCTTCCGAATAACAGTCCTAAATTATCGAGGCCGAAAATATACCCTAATATGGCATCAATCAGATGTAAATTGCGAACTTCCTGCGACTTAAATTGCGCACTTCCTGTGACTACCGCCACCATCGAGAGGATCTCCCACGCCGCTATGCGCTTTGTGGATTAGGGCTGAACTAGATGGCTGGGACTCACGAGCAGCAGCTGCCGCATCTCCTGAAGCTTCCTTCATTTTATTTGCTCGTAAGTCCCAGACATCTAGTTTAGCCCCACTCCATGACGATACTCTCAACGGTGGCGGAAGTCCACAATTCACATGTGACTGAGGCCTTGTTAGGGTATATTTTCGGACTCGATAATTTGGGACTGTTAGGAAGATAGCCCTCAATTTATTCATAAACTGATTGTATAAATAAATAGTATGTCTTCTTCTTTGTGTTCACTGTCTGTAAACTGCAGAGGAAAACTCTAGTTGTTCATTCACCTCTGAACTTTAGTCTTGTTCCAGAACCTGAGTTGCATACACATCCGTTTTACAGATCTGACTAATGTATATGCAGACTGTTGGTTCCTTACCCCACAGGCAGATCCAATCCAAATTCGAAGGAAGCCCCAATGGGGTCCTGGAACCCACATGGGGGGAAAAGTATACAAATGAATGATTCCATAAATGTTATTTGCCATTTTCCGAGGCATTTTCTGGACACAGGTTAAACATAAAATAAAAATACGGCTCCATTATTTACTATTTTAAAAAGGTATTGAGTAGCAATTGTTCACTGCATAGCATAATAAATAAACTTTGTAAACGCTCCTTCGCCTACCTCCCATTAAGATCAAAGCAACTACCAGGTTACCACACCGCGTGAAACAGATACCAGTTGATCGTGGGTCGATTCTGCCTGGACAAATTACAACCCAGACCGAGACGGTCAACAAGGCGTCGTCCGTCCCCCGTCCATCGCACCAGTCTATTTTTAGCACAGCTTTGTCAGTTTCATCGACTGGCTGGCGATAATTCATTATATTAACAACCTGGATGCTCTATAGAATGACCATAACTTCAAAACAACGTCATCACAAAACAAAGTGCAAAATAAACTTTGATTTCCATAAAAGTAACCACCGTAAACTTTACAAACAGCGACTTGACTTACTGCTGTGAACGAACCCCTGCTCACAAACATTACTCCATTTTGGCCAGCACTTGGTAACTCGAAATGCTCAAAATGTACAACTAATTCTGTCCACATTGCTCTCTGCCCTACGATTAGAGCAATACAAGTATCGTGTTCATACCAATCCTTATAATTAGAAGTACATATTATTTTGGTAAACCTAAGTATTTAGTAACTTTCCTCCAAGATGGCGAAAACTGTAAAAACTTGTTTCGGTCCTGGTGTGGGTTTCATCTCTATAGGGCCTATTCAGCGTGGGCGCAAGCGGGCCTGAGTACAAGAGTGGCTGCTTCACCACGCCTCTCCTCTAGTAGCTCAAAGCAAAGCCGTTTATTCACTAAACACGTGTACGATCCATAAAGAAGAAGAATATTTGCTTTTTGATATCAGGCAGTGTTCATGAATTTTTAAAATAAATTTAAACCCCATATTTGCACTGTTGATTTTCCTCTCTGCATTCATTCGAAATTTCAAAGTCTCTACATTCTCTGTAAATGTTGGACTTATACATAAAATATATGTTAACTGATCACCAAATAAAACTCTTGCAAATATAAGTTCAGTTATGTACGTGCCTTCAAGTATATGAGAAACCTTGGCAACGTCTGAAATGTTAAAAGGTCCCTTTCCCACGCCTTTATGCGTATTGGGAATATAGGACTAGATCTAGATTTTTATCGACCAGTCGGCACGTAACGTCTGAAATAAAACAATACATTTATTAATGTATTTATCATGTATTTATTACATGATGGAAATACTACCCTGCGCGCAGTATTTCTCGAGGTATGGTGTCTGCCTCGAGTTCTGGAGGTCCCGGGTTCAAATTCCGCTGAAGGCTGGGATTTTTTTTCACGTGGACTTATAGTAATTGCCACTGGTTTCTGGGTAGTAAGACCGGACGCCCGTGTGTATTTTTGAGCACGTAAGAAATCCCTTTGCAGTTAAAAATCGGTTTCAAATTGCTATCATAGCTGTGACACAGGGGTTGAGGAATAGCTCTCAACTCTCACCAAATACTCCTAAGGCATTCATCACCTCTGACAGTAAAAGTCCAACTCCTGGCCTTCTCGTGGTGGAACTTTAAACCAGGAGTAAGGAGGAGTGGCGGCGGTGAGTATCTAACGCCGTAAAACCAGTCGGTTCCTCGAGTAGGATCACAGTCTACCCTAGCAAAAGAAGGTGCTGAAGTCGGAGGCAACCAGCTAGGAGGCGCGTCATATAAATCAGGATGCCACGCACACACGCCATGGAAATGCGTCTAAATCAGCAAAACGATATGGTGCTCGCCCTGTAATGGACTCTCAGGCAGGAGCAGTGCCAGGCCCTCTACCTCGAAGAGGCCCAACTCAAATTCCTGGAGGTCCTTCTCAAATATCTTGTGGAGCTAGGGGACATGAGAATAGAGCATCTGGCCGAGCTAAGAAGGGAGTCAAATTAGTGCACTGGAATGCGAAGGGGGTTACAAATAAAAAGCTAGAGTTCGAAAATATTCTAAATGAGGAATATACATATATATATATTTATGCCCGGCTCTCTAGCGGAATTGGCTAAACCGGATTTCGCGGAGACCGGGTGACGTACTCCTTGTGGTCCGGGTTCAATCCCGGGGGTAGGCAGGAAAGCCACATTTTCTCCCAGATTTACGGTATTTACAATGGAATCAACGCCGAAAGGTTGCGATATCCATAATACCGAGCCTAAGGGTTAACAACTCATGGCTTCTGGATACTAAAACAAACATATATATTTACAGCTAAAGATGGCCGTGGGTTTTGCCATGTAACAAGATTGACATCAGACAGGGCACCACAAAGAGAAATGCTATACAGATACAACGGTAACAGACCCAGAGGTCGACCACGCAAATTATGAACCGCAGAAATATCAGAGACATTGAAAAGTACTGTACTGTATCTGAAGCGCACTGAAAGGCCCGTTCCAGAGATCTCTTTCTGCCCTGTCGCCTCGAGGCATTCCAGGAGTACAGAAAAGAAGAGGAAAGAACGAGTCATGAATATTTCGTAAACAAAATTGCGATTCGCAAAAAGCACTAGTTTATGAATATCATGGCGGATAAGGTACGCACTGCACACCTGTGTCTTCAATAAACGTGTTGTTCTTATTGCCTTGATTGTACTTTCACACTTTCCATTTTTATTTTGGTGGAACATAATATCTTACATACCTACCAAAGCATTCTCCATGTAGTTCATACTTCATGTGCCGTTCGTCATGACATCTGTGACCTGGTCAGTGACTTTAACTCTCTGTGACCCAGGGGTTTAGCAGCATCAGAGGCCCAAGTGGGGGTGGTTAAGCAATTTTTAAATTTCACTAGTGTAACACATTAGAACAGACCATACTAATTCAGCTGCCGTGCAGCATACACTAAAGGTTAGTTGCGTATCCTTTACAGGACGTTGCAGAACCAATTCCCAGCTACCCCTGGCTGTTGTGTGGTGGTTTCTCTAGGCAAATTTAGGCTATCCTCCGAATAACTATATAAATTATCGAGGTGGAAAATATACCCTAACAGGGCCTCAGTTATGTGTCAATTGCGCACTTCCGGGGACTATAATACCGCCGCCGAATTGCAAACTTCCGCCACCGCGAGAGTATTCCCCACGCCACTCATGCGGCGGGGATTGATGCTAAACTGGATGGCTAGTACTCACAAGCAAATAAAATTAAGGAAGATGCTGTAACTGCTGCTCGTGAGTCCCAGCCATCTAGTTTAGCCCCAATCCATGCGGCGTGGGGAATACTTTCGGCGGTGGCGGAAGTGTGCAATGGACACGTGACTGAGGCCCTGTTAGGGTATATTTTCTGCCTCGATAATTTAGGACCTTTATTCGGAGGATAGCCCAAATTTACGTCCAGTAGTTTGCCATTGCTTGCTGGACGGTCGGCCCACCGATACCACTGTCGAAACCAGCGCATGGCCCAAAGCTGGGATCGAACCCTGCACCCCAGCATTACGAAGCATTCGCGTCAACTTAGCCACAGAGCCGAGGCAGCATACACATATCCATGAAAGTGATAAGGGATTGTAATTGTTGTGGTTAATATAAGAATACTGCTACAACAACAAATAATTGTGTTGTTAGTTAGTTAAATATTTAGTAAATAAACAGACAGCATGTTTGTCTAAATTAGAGAAATCAGTAAAGCAAAATAATAGTTTCTAGCATGTTTGTATAAATTAGTCCAAAGTCCACGTGAAAAAATCCTAGCCTTTACCTGGGATTGAACCTGGAACCTCCAGCACTCGAGGCGGACACCTTGCCTCAAGACCACTCTCTCCCTCTCTCTCTCTCTCTCTCTCTCTCTCTCTCTCTCTCTCTCTCTCTCTCTCTCTCTCTCTCCCTCTCTCTCTCTTTCTCTCACGCACGATTGCTCCCTCACTCACTCTCTCTTCCTCCACCCCTTAGTTGACATGTATATTTCTCTCTGTGTGAGTTCCGGGGTCCCATTGTGGGGAAAACAAGAATAGACCAACTGCCTCCCCAACAAGCGTGTTGTGAGAGTCGACTAATTGGGTGGCTGACTTCAAAGCCGGAGTGCATTTACCTGAGAGGCAAGGAGCCAGCAGTCTGCATACAAGTGAGCAATATCTGCAAAACGGATGCACACCCAAAACTCAGGTCTTGGAACAAAGCCAAAGTCCATAAATAGACGGACAACCAGGTCTTTCCTCCAGGTTTTACAGCCAGTGAATGCCAACAACAAACAACATATATATTGCATAGAATAATCTCCAGTCTGCGAAATACTACTTTTGCTTGAGTTGTTAAATAAAAGTGATGTGCAAATGATGGTGATGATTATTTGGATAAAATTATTAAAATAAATAAATGTTCTTGTTTTAACTTATGTAAACACATTGTGGTCTTCTTCTCCGTTAGGTCTTAAAAAGTGGTTGTGGTTTACAGCAAGGATGAGGTAAATGTGCCTTTTGGCTAAATAGATCCAACTTCAGCAACCCTTTTAGTTGCCTTTTACGATATGCGGCTGTGCTTGTAAAGAGTACAGGGTCTAATTCCGAAGAGTGGGATGTGAGCAAAGAATAGTCCCACTGTCCCCCTTACATTCATGTCGTAAAGGTCAACTAATTAGGAGTGTATCCTTCCAAGTCAGAGTGCCTCTGCCTGAGCAGTGAGGAACCAACAGTCTGCGTACAATTAAGTCAGATCTGTAAAACAGATGTGCATGCATAACTCAGGTTCTGGAACAGGACCAAAGCCCAGAAGTGGATGAACAACTCCGCCAGAGTTTACTGCTGCTGAACGCTAAGAAGTAGAAGAAGAATATGCATTACTTAATTTGTTTATTGTGTCTCTTGTCTTTTTTTACTTAATGTTGGTTTACTAAGGAATGTTAATAGATTGGTGTTTCTGATGTATCACTAGGTTGTTCTGTATAGCTACTTTAGAAGCTCAGCATCTTGGAGGGTCAGAATAGGTAATATTTTATTTTATTTCCTGTATTGCTAATTATTCTTTTATTACAAGTCTTTATTTTCAACATGCTTTAGACATATTTCCTTATTTTAATCAAGTTAATTTATGATAATTTACCAGTTATCGTTTAGAATTAATTTCAGAGAAATTTCCCGATAGGAGATTATGTTAGTTTAATTGAACTTTCCTGATAAGGAAAATCAGGCGTGTGAAGCAATAAAGACCTCATTTCAGTACTGTCGTGAAATTGTGGGCATATAATGCCCATGAAAAAGTAGTCAAACTATTAGAAAAATTAAACATTGATGGAAAAGATCTACGAATAATAAAGAATATGTATTGGCAGCAAACAGCATCTCTAATAATTAACAACTGTTTATGTTTATTTCAGTGCATAAAAAAGGAGGTACGACAAGGATGTGTACTGTCACCTGATTTGTTTTCACTATACAGTGAATATATAATGAGATCTTTACTTGATATGCCCAGAATTGTGGTTGGTGGGCACAATATAAACAATTTACGTTATGCTGATGACACAGTTTTGATATCAACAAGTCAGATTGAACTACAGGAAATGATAGACATTGTGGTTGTAGAAAGGGGAAGAATGGGCCTCAGTCTGAATTATGGAAACACAGAAGTAATGGTGGTATCAAAATAAAGAATTATTCCTAAATGTGTAACAAAAGTCAGTGGTGTTATTTTGGTACAACTACAGAAATTTAAGTATCTGGGCACATAGATAACCTCAGATGGAAGATGCATTACCGAGATAAGGTCTAAAGAAAAAGAAAGAATGAACTGAGTTAACCAAGGCTGGTTTCCTAGAAGTGTTGTGCTTGCTTGTCACGCTGAATCAGGACACTACAATTCATCATGTCACCATCATCATCTTTTGCAGAATGCGCTCTCGTCACAGCCTGCCTGAAAAAACTTGATCTCTAGCCAGCTCTCCGGCACTTCCATGCACTTTCATATTCAATGAGTCACTTAAATCCTGTTTACATCTTTATGTTGGTCGGCCCCTCCCCCTCCTTGCTGGTACCATGCCTTCTGCTATTAAACTAGTAAAGAGTCAGAAGGGAAAAGAACTGGCAAGCCTTGCAAGTAATGAATTAGTTCCCCTTGTGGGTAGAGGGGCCCCATTTCAGAGAAGAGGAAGGGGAGAATAGACACATGGCCTCTTTAACAATCGTGTTGTAAAAGGGGACTAATTAGGTGTTTCCTATTTGGGCAGTAATTTAGATAAAGATGGAGGAACTGATAGAGATATTAAAATAAGAATACAAAAGGCAAGAGGGGCTTTTATAGCACTAGGCTATTTGTGGATGTTAAAAGAAATACTAAACTAAAAATGTTTAATTCTAATGTCAAATCAGTACTATAGGAAAAAAGAAGACAGATCTAAACATAGCAATAGAATACAAAGGCATTAAACAGGCATCTGAGTTTAAATATCTGGGAACTACATTTACCGAAGATGGGAAATTGGATAAAGAAATTGACATTAGATGCAGTAAAGCAAACCAAGCATAAGACAATCCCAATCAGCACAAAGAGACATCTTATTCAAAGCATATTTATTCCAACTCTGTGCTACCAGTGCCAGACATGGTCACTCACAACAAACCATAAAAGAAAATTAGTAACCACGGAAATGAGATGTCTGAGAAGGGCTGTAGGAGTGACCATAAGAGATAAGATCAGGAATGAGATCATAAGAGAACAAGTCGGCACAGAACCAATTCTGGATTACATACAAAGACAGCAAGTGAAATGGTTTGCCCACTTAGAGAGAATGCCTTGTGACACCATACCATACAAAGCATACATGGAAAGAGAAGAAGGACGTAGAGCACGGGGTAGACCAAGAACAACATGGAAGGATAACATCAGAGAAACTCTACAACAGCACGATGTGCCTATGGTCGAGGCAGCCAGAAGAGCTAGAAACAGAACCTTATATCTCCCTCGACACCCACAGCGGTAAAAGAGGAAGTGAAGAAGAAAAGAATCAGTACTGTTGTATGGGGCGGAAAAATGGAGAACAACTAAGACAATTACTAATAAATTACAGACATTCATTAACTGGTGCCTGCGCAGAATAGAGGGAATTAAATGGTATAATAGAATAACTAATGTGGAACTTTGGGAGAGAACTAAACAGGCTCCAGTGGACCAAGAGGTGAGGAAAAGATGCTGGCGTTGGTTAGGACACACACTGAGAAAACAGGAAAGCAGCATAACTAGAATGTCTTTGCATTGGAACCCACAGGGGCATAGGAATAAAGGAAGTTGGAAAGATGGGGAGGACATGGGGAGAGCTCCATGCAATGGCGAAGGATAGAACGACTTGGCGTGAGTTTGTTGAGGGCCTATGCTCCATTGGGGGATAGACAGGCAGAAGAAGAAGAAGAATTATGTGTTTACTAAAATCTGATGTTGTGAGCTGAAAGGTGCAGATATTGAAGCCTAGCTGTGAACCACAATACAGTGCACAAAATGTTTTTTGTTTAAAGGTGAACACTGAAGAAGATAAATTAATGAAATGATAAAGGTTAAAGTCGAGAGGATCCACTTCATTGCACCGGGTTTTCTCCCATAGGGCTCGGTCTTTCTCCTCAGAACAGCTAGCCGTCTGCCGAGAGCGCCGCACAGAGCACAAACTCTGTAGCTCCGGTGACGTACCTCATAAAAACCACTTGTGAACTGAAGGACACAGCTGTGAAACGAACCCACGAACTTCAGAGCACAAGACAAATGGCTTGACCATTTCACCACGGAGACCCCCGAATGGAATGATAGAAGCAGCTTGTTCCTCCTTTTATACAGCCAACGCAAGATCTTTTTCCTCACAGTGTCTTCTAACTTGACACTGGAAGAAATAGATGACAGTCAAATGTGTGCTTATTTTTTATTGTTTTATGTGCTGACTTGTGCTAGAAGTTTCATTGCAGTAATTGGCAAGTTTTGTGTCCTTTTAGCTCTGGCAATAAAAGGTGTCAAATATGAGTATAGAGCTGTGAGTCTTGTCAAGGGAGAACAGGTATGTAGATTCCTACAGCGGAGACTTATGTAAACATTTTTAGGTTCCTTATTCCTTAATCTCAAACTTCTGTGCCAAAACTTCTTATTTCTTTGCATCTCTTCCTGAGGTATATAGGTCAAATAAAGTTAGCTTCCCTATTTTGGTAAGGCCCTGTTTTGGGTGGTTGGGGGGGGGGGGGGGGGGGGGGACAAGAATAGACCCACTGCCTGCTAACAAGCATGATGTAAAAGAGGACTAAGTAGGGTCGTTTCCTGTGTGTATGGATTGAGGAGCAGCAGGCAGAACAGTTAAGAACGCTTGGCTGTCATGTGGAAGACCTAGGTTTGATTCCTCGGTTAGGTCATGGCTTTTTCTGTCAGGGGCAAACATAAAATTCTAACTTGCGCAGTACATGGCCACAGCACTAGCCATGTGTCCCTAACTCCTCAGGCTCAAAGACTCCCCTACCTACACCAAAAAAGTGGGAAATACAGTAACTGGCATTTTGAATATATGGATTTTGTCTTTTGTCCCATAGTAGTTTTTCGTCCATACATTTTCTGCGAAAATATTCTTCGGAGAATGCAGCCAGACCAAACTGCATGTGCGACTTTATACAGCAGAACATCTTGGAGGAAGGCAGACCAAGAAAGATATGAATAAATGGCACAGCAGAAACCTGCAAAAAGATAAACAAATCCGTCACCCAAGCGCAAGACAAATTCAGAAAACAGCAACACTAGGCTGCAACCTGGTATCAGTGAAACAACAAAAGAAGAAGATATTTTTAAAACTGGCAAACTTGATCAGAAAAGAGGAAAAGAAAGAAATGTCCTCTAATTGACCCCATATTCTACCAAGGCTCTTAAGGGAAGAGAACAATTGCAAGATGCCCAGTTCCGTTCCTTGATTTTTCCCTGCATGAATGAATCTTCCCTGTAGCAACCTACCGATGTGAATCGTGGACTATCTCACATTCCTTAAGGAAGAACATATTAATTCTTGAACTGAATGCTTTAAAAAGATTCTCAGATTGCTATGGACAAAGAAGAAAAAGAAATACTGACATCCTAAAGGATCTGAACATGAAGGAAGATTGGCTAGTAAACAAAATCCCTTCCAAAGCAAGGACCCTTATTTTGCCTGTGGTTTGTCAGGCATTTGATGATAGACTCCTATTTTGATAAGACCAATCAGCACTCATTGAGTGATGTGGTTAGCAACCCATTTGAGACTGAGGAGTCAAGATCAGTGTTGAAAAAATTATGACTAAATGTTAATTTAAACCCATGTGCTTTGGGTCGGCAGGCCAGTGTCTAGCCACTACGCTACTGCGACCAAACCAGTCATGAGCAAGTCTACCGATGTCTTAAGGGCCGTTTGCCATTGGGAAGGAAATTGAAAGAAAAAGAATGTCTTTAAGCATGTTATTTCATAAATTTTTTGGATATTGTTTTATATCTAAACATTTGGTGAATGCAAATGAAGAAGATATCTTAACAATACAATTTTTGTCTTAATTCTACCTTTCTTTTTCTGATGTTTTCTAATCTAAATCGGATATTATTGTCCCTGTGTCGCCCCATTGTGGGGCAAACAGGAGCAGACACTCTGCCTCCCAAAAGCATGTCGTAAGCGTTGACTAATTGGGTTCTTTCTGAGTACATCTGCTGGAGATGCAAGGAGGCAACAGTCTGCATACAAATAAGTAAGAAATGTAAAATGGATGTGCATGTAACACTCAGATTCTGGAACAAGACTAAAGTCCAGAGGTGGATGAACAACCAGAACTTTCAGGTGGAGTTTACAGCTATTAAACTCGAAGGAAGGATATGTCCAATATGCCACTGAGGTAAAAATGATCCTTGGGTTTTACTTTACTTTTACATTAAAACAACATGAGACATTTGTGTTTATGAACTATATAATTTACAATTACAGTTCAGTGATGAATATAAGAAGTTGAATCCTATGGGTCAGATTCCTACCCTGCTCATTGATGGCCATTGTCTAACCCAATCTGTAAGTATTGCTGCAACCTAATGTGCTTTCTTAATTAGCTAGTTTGTGCTGAAGTTTGTGTTTGTTGGTAGCTCAGAAGTATTGTATTTATTTTATTTCAAGGCTTTTTAAAAGAACTGTTTGCAGGATTGTATAGGCGGTGAATGTATGTTTCTAAATTCTCCTGTTAGCCGGCTTGAACTTGTTGTTAATAGTCTTTTTTTTTTAATTCCCCCTTGACAAGTATTGTGTAGTGGATAGTTTTGAAGAATTCTGAGCTTTTCAAACTGCGGAAGGATTGTGTAGTCTATGAAGTCCAAAAGACTGCATGTGAACAGTTTTCCCGACTTCATTTATGGGGCTGCTATTTTTAAGCTCCTATTCTGAACCATATTTAGTTTTCAAAAGTTCTGTTTCGCTGCTTTCGCCCAAGAGCCTAAGACACATTCCATGAGCTTGACTGCTTCAGGGTACATTTGTTCCCTCCAGTTATATTTCATTTCAGCGGGTCTTTGTATACCAGTTGAATGGATTTTTCCATTTTACGTTTGGCTTAACCTGTGTGTGATGATGAACATGGGTGTATCTTACTGAAGACTGGTTGATTTTCTGACAATATGGATATTTTTTCATTGTGTTGTGAGAGACAGTAAACAGTTTCTGTGGGTATTGTTTACTTTAATGGTGTACCTAAATTCTTTGTTGAGGTCTCTACTATTCTACTGACTTTTGAAGTTGCTTGAAGCCAGTTGACAGGGCTTTCCATAGCAGCCCGAAAAGTAAAGTTGTCATCATGTAGAAAGCTGGATGTAATATGGTGACAACATTTAGTAATGTCAGTTATGTAAATAAAGAAGAGACTTGGGGCTTTTACATTGCTCTGAGGAACTAACTCTTTTTTTTTATTGACTGACCAACTGTCTATTTTACCTTACTCAACATTGGTCAGGAAGACTCTTACCCAACAAGAGGAATTGTGTGCAACTTCTACTTGTAGATATTTTTGTTTGCTTAGTCCGTACTTCCACACGATGTGGAAAAGTATGTAGTAGAGTGACATTTGAACTAATGTTAACGAGCGGATTAACCTCATTAGTAACATCTTATAATTTCTTTGTTTATTTTGCAAAGTAAGTAATCATTAAGAATTAAGTCTGTTACACAACATTGAGACAAGCATGAACAGTTAATCAAACTGTTCCTTTTCTCCTTTCTTTTTCTCTTTCTTCTTTTTCTTAACCACTGCCTTATTTTTATTCAGTGCTCCTAACTGGACTTGAGGCCGCTTCTGTCCCACCCCTTCTGCACTCCGCCTGTTGACTTGAAACACTAGGTCACATAACTTCTGCTGACTTTCTGCTTGTAACACTGTGCCATCAGAGTGTTTATTATTCTTCCATTGATATTTTTGTCCAGACAATTCTTCACATTTTTTAAAATGTTCAAGTTGAAAAGGCTTGGGGATGGCTCACATCTCTGATGTGTTCATCTTTTTATCTCTATCTGTGGGAACAACCACCTACAGTGACAACCCTCCAGACAGCAAAAACACTGATAAGAGCTATAAACAAAGAGACTTGGTTGAACAGATGGGCCATGGGAGACACTGGAAGAGAGGTGTATAGACATATGTCTGGCCCTGATCCTAATGACAGCATTAACCATCTAACAAGAAGGGACCAGGCCACCATCTTCAGACTTAGAACGCAACATACTCCACTCAATGGACACCTAAACAGAATACAGCCACAACACTCCCCAGAGTGCCAGCTATGTAACTACCCCTACAAAACTGTTGAACACCATCTCTTTGAGTGCCCAAAACTCAGTGAGACAAGAAGAACGCTACTCCCTCCGAGACCAGACAAGTGGAACACCTTGTACGGAGGAAAAGAACAGCTTGTGAAAACATGCAAATTCCACTACATGGCATTGGGCCAAAGGGTGAAAGCTCATGCGCCGCTGGATCGATAACAACAACAACAACCTCTATCTGTGGAGAGTAGATATGTTGTGTCTAACTGTTGCTGTTTGTTTTTAATTAATTACATGCCCTTTACAAAAAGTTGCAAAACCAACCCCAACAATTTTTGGCTGTTGTGCTTTTTCTAGGCAAATTTACATTCTTTAGTTTGCCAGTGCTTGCTTAACGGTTGGCTCTCGATGCCACTTAAAACCAACGCAGATCACTTTTAGCTGGGATCCAACCCGGACCACCTAAGCCACAGATGTCGACGTGCTTCTGGTATAGGTTACAGCAAAACTCTGATTAACCGTTCGGACTAGAGCTGTGACGAATAAGTGAATAGATGGATAACAGAAATCTCCTAATACCTATGTACTGTAGTGTGATGTCACTTTGCTTGGGATGAAAATTAAAATAAAATCCTTAAAAAAAAGTTAACAATACATACATATTGTGTTTAATTTTTGCAGAAAAATCAAAAAACAATTCAGTATAAGAGTAGTAATGTACAGAAATGTATTGTAATACTATAAACCTACATTACTTTAAAATAATCTGTCATCTGCTGTCTCTAGGTTTTTAGCTAAGAACAAATCCTTCATCTTCATCCTTTTTAAAAAAAAAATGACAAGTAACTGAAACTGGATGCCAAACGAGTGACAGTTAATCAGAGTTTTACTGTATTCAGTATTATGATATCCTTTCCATCTAATCCTTTATGTTGAAGTCATGCAATGAGCTTTTCATGTTGCACCCTGTTGAAGGCCTTGTATATATTTCAGCTGCCTATAATTGAGTATTTGGAAGAGAAGTATCCTGAGCCTGCATTGCTTCCCAAAGACTCATTTGGAAGAGCTCAGGTAAAGATGTTTTACACTGGAATCAATTTGGTGCTGCACTTTGGTATAGTTGCTAGTGTGCTTGACTGCCAAGACTCCACCTGTGGTTACCGGGGCCCCGCTATGGGGGAAACAAGAATAGACTCACTGCCTCCACAACAAGCATGTCGTTAGAGTCGACTAATTGGGGGCTTCCTTCGAAGTCAGAGTGCATCTGTCTGAGAGGCAAGGAACTCACAATCTGCATACAGATAATACAGATCTGTAAAATACTTAGGTTCTGGAGCAAGACTCAAGTCCAGAGATGGACAAACAACCAGAACTTCTGCCAGAGTTGCAGCTGGTGAAAGTGAAGAAGAAGAAGAAAACAGAGGAAAGGCAAGATGGACATTTAACCAGATTGTGACTGGTACCATCAGTATTGGAACTCTGCCCTGGCTGCTGAAGATGAGGACAGAGCATGCATGGGAATGCCCCGAGTGCTGTGATGTCAATTCTTGAGTCAGCTCAACTGAACTCAAGAAGAAGACAGCAAAGACAGTCAGTTCAAAGCTAAGTAATGGACACATTTCATGACATTAGTGCATCAGGTCTATAGTGCGAGAACCATGTAGATTGACTGGCTTCTTAGGGGGTGATAGTGTCATCTTGCCGACTGCCTTTTCTTTCCAAGACATTTCTTGATACAAGTTTTCAAACCAATCCAGATTATAACCCAAGCCAGTTGCTAAGCATCAGTCACAGCTGACAGACAGGAGTCTAGAGTCAAAGTCGAGAGGGTCGACTTCCTGGCACCCGGTTTTTTACTGTTTGGCTAAGTCTCTCTCCATAGAATAGCTAGCCACCTGCCAAAAGCATTGCATGAAGCACAAACAACGTAGCTCTGGTGACAATCTTCATGGGGTCGCAATGAAAACTGCACTAGTGCACGAGAAAACGCAGTCTTTAAAGAAATCTACGACCTTCAGAGTGCGAGGCGAACAGTTTGACCACTTTGCCATGAAGACCCCCCCCCCCCCCCCAGTCCAGAATCAATTACCAGCAGAGACCGGGTTATTGTTTTCTACCAGTTATCTCTTTAGGATCATCCCACTTCCGTTAAAAATTCCATCAAAATAAGTAAATGATTAAAATATCAACTTTTGGACATCATTATTTTACTGTTTTCTCTTATAAGAATTTGTATTTTTGTTGGGTGTGATTTGTTTCTTTTTTGTCACTTGTTTACAATCTCTCATTCCTCTTATTGCTGCTTGTTCATTCCAGGATTATCTTGATAGCAAGAATGTTTTATATTCTCTGTCTTTCTGCTCCACTTCTTTTCTGTCTCTTCTCTTCTCCCTTGTCCCTTTCCATCCTGACGTTCATAATCATTTATGCATTTGGACATAGACTGTTTCATTACCCTTACACAGATATGGTGATAGACACAGAAAGTACACAATGTATACTGTATATGCAGGTCAGAGCATTGGCAGAGATCGTCAACAGTGGTATTCAGCCCCTGCAGAATCTTAGAATTATAAAGCAGGTTGGAGAGGGGCAGAGTGAATGGGCAAGGCACCATATAGAATTTGGTTTTAAAGGTAAGTAGTAATGTTGGGATATGAAGATTACAAATGTAATTATTCTGTTTTTTATACATTGCCTATCGTTGGCACCTTTCTGTCTTTCCAGATAATAGTATTGTATTGCACTATGAGGAGACATGGGACTCACAGCTCATGGCGATGGCGAGTGTGACTAGCAAGACTAGCCCACGTTGAGGAAAGTCAGAGACCAGTTAATGTCAGGAATGAAGTTCTTCCTCTCTATAATACAAAGTCTGGGCAGTATTGAAGAGACCATATATTGCCCATGTGTCATGGTCCTTATCTAGGCCTTTCTTGTTTGCTCCAAAAGTTTACCTATATTGTCCATAAAGAATGTGGAAGTGACACGTGAATGATATAGCTGTTGAAGTGGATGCGTGTGTGGCAACAGGAGACCATTGACAGTGTTGCAAGGAGAGGGAAAATCAGGAAACAGCAGCGATAATGAGAAAATGATCACAGACAGGTGAAGAGTTGAGTGTCTGAGAATAAGCACATTAAGTACATACATGTGGTGGCAACAATCTCCCTGAAATTCCACGCTCTCACTGTGGCATGAGCAAACTTCCCATGTGTCATCACTTCAGCTGTCTCAGTCACACTTTTCCAAATTTAAAACAGGATTGCTCTTTGTTCCTTGCTACATCATAACTGCACAACTTTCACTAGCTATACAAAATGGCAGGTTACTTGTCTGCTGGCCAGGTGGCTTTACATTTTAGCCAAATCATAGATGAATGGTGCCTGTTTGGGTGACGTGCTTTCCTTCATGGAGGGTGTTTTTGCTTTGCAATAATAAAATCTCATTATTTAATTGCCAGACTATCTAAGGGTTCAGAAGAGGTAGTAGAAAAGGAAGTATATGTGGCAATAATGTGACCCTTAAAAAAACATCATCATCATCATCATCTAGCAGTTCTTTACAGAATATTACTCCCATCACTACCCTACAGAAAGTCTATTGGTTCCTACCATTTATCATACTTCATGCTTTGTCGATACTAAGGCATTTTCACTGTGTCCACCTTTTTGCTTGTCAGCTCCTGCATCTTTCCTAAGGACCAGGGGCTATTGTTTCTTTCTGGTGTAACGCAGTACCTGTAGCTTTCGTGAGGCATTTTGTCAGCACTGCTCTAATAGACACTTTCTGGTGCACACCGGCACCCTATTTAGGTACTTTGTGGTGAATACTGGCACTTTTCTCCTAGAAAAAAGCCTTGCTAATGATAATGCTTTCTATCATTAAGCCACTGTCTCTTTCATTAAGCCACTGTGGCATTGAATGTAAACGCCATTAATACAAAAATATCTAATTATAGTTTCTTTTTGGTGGAAGACTCCAAAGTAGAGTTTAAAAAACATTCAGGTCTGTCAGAACATTTGAATTTTAAGTGTATATTTTATCTTATTTTTACACAGCCCTAGAGGCAATGATGGCAAATACAGCAGGCGTCTATTCTTATGGAGACCAGGTGACCATGGCTGATGTGTGTTTAGTCCCTCAAGTCTTTGGTGCCAAAAGGTAGTATTTGACATTTATTCTTCTTCTTTGGTCATATGTTTGAATTCACATCGAGGTGGGAGTTATTTAATAATTGACTTGGGCTGCTAGGCAAATCCGGCCTAAAATAGGTACAAGGAAATGGTCCAGGAAGTAAAAGCAGCTGGCATTATATTCGCCACATCACTTGTTGAGCGCTATTTGATCTATTAAAAATTATTCAGGATACGAAAATGTGTAACTACAGGCCCTTTTTACTTAAAACAAAATAATACCAGTTTTACCATAACAATTCTGAGTCCAGACAACATACTTCCTGATAATAGTTACGTCGCACAGCTACTTAGTTAAGTGCGTGGCATGACACTCTGAGCTGCAGTTTTAATTTAGAATCCTTTTCGACTATGTCCAGTGTTGTTTGTGTTGTGAAATGCAGATTCAGAAAATGTCCAGTAGCCTGTTGCCAGAGAAATGGCAGTGCCTTATGCAATTAATGATGTGTGCAACTACTGATTTTGTTAACTGCTGCTTCAATCAAAGATGAACTGCATTTCAAGTGCCAGACTGTTTATGTTGGCACTTCTGACAGCTGATGAAGCATTTAGTGCATGTGTATGCTGTTAGATTTACTAAGACGGCAGTCTGTGTCAAAGTTTTCACAAGGGACAGTGATGGATATTGTGTGTGTTTTTTGGGTGGCACAGGAACGGAGCAACTATGGAGTGACCTGGAGTCGCAGTGGTGGAGCAGCTAGAAGCTCGCCTGCGGATCAGAAGGTCGTGGCTTTGCTCCATGGCGGAGCCTGACTTTTTTTTGTTTTCAAAAATGACCTTGGCTCCCAAGTCGACCTAGCCTTGAGTGGGTACCGGGTACAGTCCCGGGAAGTAAAGGCAGCCGGCGTGATGCTGGCCACATCACCCATCTTGTGCCAATTGTTCTATAAATATAAAATATAGGTCTAGCCCTATACCTCTAAAGGCTTGGGAAAGAGTTTTTTTTGTTTATTTTTACTTACTATGGAGTGACCTATTTGCAGTGAAGTGGGAATTACAATTACCATACCATACTTCATGATAAAAATGTCTGTCTACTGAGCTAGCTAAGTTAGTTGTCTAACTTTTACAGGACATTGCAGAACCAACCCCAGCATTTTTTGACTGTTGTGGTTTTTCTAGGCACATTTTACGTTCCCTAGTTTGTCTTTGCTTTCGGAACGGTCACCTTTTGGTACCACTGTTGAAACCAACACAAGACAAACCACCCGCAGATGGGATCGAACCCGGTACCTCGCATTATGAAGCACATTTGCAACGCCTAAGCCGCCGACAATGAGTCAGCTACACACCCTGAAAATGCTCAGCCATGCTTCCCAACCTCTCATGCAGTCATGATATTCTACTTCTCTCTTCTTGTGACATTTTTATGAAGTTAATGTTGCAATTATAATAATTTTTTTGCTGTGTTAATCAGTCTCCATACATTCTTTTCCAGCTTTCTTTGGTAATTTTTGCCTAATAATTTTCCTGACTAGTTGGTTGATTCTTAAAGTTACAGCTGTATCTACTTTACGGTTTTGAAATGTGATGTTGCAATACCTGACTCTGTGAATACTTTTGCATATGTGTTATGTAAACACTTTGACAGCATGCAATAATGATTGGGTCTTGAATGAATAGTTGTTTGTGTCTTCATGCAGGTTTCAAGTGGATATGTCACAGTTCCCAGTAATTACTAGGGTAAATGATGCCTTGGTGAAACTACCAGCATTCCAGGAAGCTGATGCCTTCCGTCAGCCAGATACACCTGAGGACCTGAGAGCAGCTTAAGCTTATACTAGTGCTAAGATTTCTTACAGCAGGGTAATGCACCCAATATCACTATGCAGGCATTGTCTGTAATATAACATTGTTTGTTTTTGTTTCCTGAATTGTGAAAACTAGTATTTATTGTTAACTGCTTGATTGACAGGGAGTCAGGAAGTATAACAAATTGTTGGTATGGGAGTTCTTCTTACTTTTTCTGTGTTTGCTTGCTTTTAGAAGAATGGTGGCATGCTGCATTGTGGTTTACACATCATTGTTCCATTAGGACACCTCTTGAGGCAGGTGTTGCAATAAGTCTGATAATATTTTCAAGCAGTTCCACAGTGTGCACTCTCAGATATCAGAAATTGATTACCTGGTATCATCATCATGTAGCAGGTCCTTTGCAGAACATCGCTCTCATCACGGTCTGCCTGAAAGAAACTCGGTCTCTCGCCAGCTCTCCCGCCTCATGTACTTTCAAACTCAAGGAGTCACTTATATCCTGTGCCCATCTTCGTGTCGGTCGGCCCCTGCCCCTCCTTCCTGGTACCATGCCTTCTGCTATAATTTTTTTCACTCCGTCGTGGTGCTTGATCTGACCAAAATATTTCAGCTTCCGAGAAAGGATGCTGTTTATTAGCCAATCTTCCTTGATGTTCAGATCTTTCAAGATGTCAGTATTTCTCCTCTTCTTTGTCCAAAATATTCTGAGAATCTTTCTCTAGCATTTCAGCTCAAAAGCCTCTGTTTACCTGGTATAGCACATAATATTACTGACTGGAAGGAATCTATCACAGTTTAGTGAGCAAGATAGTCTCATATCATATCATCAAGTATTGTGTTTATTTTGGCTCATATTATGTAAATTTTTTTTTAAATGATTATTTACTGATTTTTTTGGCTGTGGCTTAGTTTGAAAATATGATATACTTTGTGATTTACTGCATTAATGTAACATAATGTTGATGTAATGTATTATAATGTTGCTGACAAAGCAAGTTAAACATTCCATAGATGATTCTACTATTTGATTGTCATTTTTCGATCTAATTCTGTTTGAATATACTTATTTTCATTTATTGTACTAAATGATACACCGTTTTGTTTAATTGTATGACAAGGGAACTGCATCAAAGAATATTGCAGCAAAAAGCAAATAATTCACATTTGTGAACATTGAGCTAGAAGTGGAGTTTACAGCCAGTGAACGTTTTTTAAATACATGATGTCTTTTGGGCACTGGTCACTCTGCTTGAATAATAACTTTACTGCTGGTTGCAACTGCATAGTGTGTAGACATGGGGGATATGATTATATTGAAAACCAATTTTTTTCCCATATATGATTTGGGGTGGAGGCAAGTTTTTTTTTGTTTTAACACTTTGGTGACCAACTTCGACAATCGTCGAATTTCCGGGCATATCCCCTGGTGACCAACTTAACAATCGTCAAATTCATGACATGTAGTCTGCCGTACCTATAGTTTTCAAACCGATCTTCAATCATCCACGTATTTTTATTATTCCAAGAATAATACCGCCCTGACCCGATTCAAGTGTTGTTTTCAGTGAAAATTAGCTAATTTTCATTACCAGCGCATATTCAGCCTTTTTGTCATGTCTCATGGTGAAAACCAGACCTATACTATTGATGATTCTGAATTTGCCAGAGAGTATAGAGCTGAAAATGATAATTCCTGGAAACATCCTTGTTAATGGGAGACAGTAATGCCCCGGATTGCTGGTCAGGAAAGTGTTAATAAATTGTGGTGTCCTGTATTTCAAACTTGCATCACATTGCTGTTTGTGGAAAAGTGACCAAAGCCAAAGTTTTAAATGTTTAAAATTGAGGAAATCAGTAAATTGTTTGCTCCGTTTGTATTTAATGGCTACTGCCCTTCACATAGTTATAAACCTTTTCCTTGTTGAAACATTTAGTGACTAGAGACAATTTGTTCAATGTTTTTAGTGATGTGACGTCATCAGAGAAGAAAATGACCTTACTCCTGACTGTCTGCTTGCGGTTCTAGCAGTTTGAGGCACCCCCCCCCCCCCCCCCCCCCCCCCCACTGCATTCTGGACTTACTGCCCAACACTCAGAATTTCTTCTGCTTCTTCTTATCCTCTTCTTGTAGTTTTGTAAGGTAAAACAATTTTGAGAAAAAAATCTTTTTTTTTTTTTGAAGTTTTTTGAGGACTAAAGGGTTAATATTACAACTAAAAATAAAGTGAAATCATAATAATAATGGCAGAATTCCCATGTTCATTTTCATCTCTAAATTCGTAATCTTTTTTCATTGCTCTTATTGTGTTTTGTTTAACATTATAATGAAGCAGGAACCGTTGATTCTGGTATGAATCCACTTTCTACATTGGAGAATTGATTGGAAACTGAGCCTGTAGAGTATGGGGGAGAATAAAATAAACAATGTATCTTCAAAAGCCGATAATATCATACACCATAATATAATATGTTTTTACATTGTTGTTTTATTATGTTGTCATTATGGTTATTATAGCACATGTTTAAGTTGAGTTAATGATCGATATCACATCACTTGGAACATTCCCAAAAGCACTCCATCACCAGCTTCAGCATGCAGTGAAGAGTTTCAGTTCTGTTGATACCAGTATCAGTTTGACTATGTGTCCTTCTTGCCTTTTCTCCGAGTGTAGATTAATGGCCAGATCGCCTAGTCACTCTTTTAGCACTATTCTCTCTAGACTGTAATGATCTGTTCATTCTCCTGCATTGTTCATTTGCTCTCAGAGGGCCTTGACTACGTTAGCTTGTCTACATTTAACTTGTCGTGCATCATTTTACCACTTAGTGTATACACAGCCAGTCTGTCTGCATGTTCATTTCGTAACACACATATATTACCTAAAGAAATGATCTAAAGGATGCTAACCACCCTAGATCTCTGAAATGATGCTTGCCACTCAGCATGGATCATGCTTTCCTCTATCTTTCTCAGCATGCTTTGTGAATCTGTTAGTCACAAAAGGAGTGTGCATCTGTTTCTCAAACTAACAGAAAGCTGCTATGGCTGCCTTCATCTCAAACTAGAATCATATTCTAGGCTTTGTTACACTAACTTTGTCCATTCATTTCTTATGCCTCTCGACACAGAACCATCTGTGTGTGTATACATATATAGCTTCTTTATTAATATCCTACCATAAGCAGGGGAAATCCACAGGTCGTCTAATATTT